CACACACACACGAGCACGTCTTTCAGTGACAGCTGCATCTCCTCATGTGAAGCCACAGACACAGCCACTACCTCACTGATGGAGACCTCAGTCAGATGATGACTGACTGTCCTGTGCAGCCGTCACATCCACTCTGCAGCTGCTCTCACTCGAGCAGCACAGACGGTGAGCGAGCTCGCGGTCCAGCTCAGATTAGAGCAGGCTGCAGGAGGTCCTGCTCCTCCGTCGGCTGCAGGTGGAGTCTGATGTTTTACTTTAGCCGTCCACGCAGTAAGAGGATTTACTCAGACTGGAAGGGATAAAAATAAAGAGTAAGTCTTTATTTTGATATGCCTCTACTCTCTACCTGCAGGAAATGCTGTCAAAACATTTTAATGTATGAAGATTACACCAGCACAAGCCACAGTCACAGTGGGATTGGCTTCATAAGCAAACTGTAAGTACACACTGAAGCCACCGCTGCACTAACACACACTGTTCATGTCACACCGCTGGAGTGACGCCTGTTCAAGGCTTTCAGTAAAACGATCAGTGCGAGTTCTGTGAAGTCAGGACTCACAAAGTCCACAAAAACGATGTTTTGTCACAGACGGTGTCACCAGCTCTTTGTCTGGTGATTCTTGTATGCAGGGAAAACGACTCCTTCATGTCTCCCCTCCCTCCGCCTCCTCCCCCTCCCTCCGTCTTCTGCAGGGAGGTGGTGCGGAGTGCACAAGAAGCAGAAAGTCTCCCACACCACAGGAAAAGCTCATCCACCATAAAGCATGACTCTGGTTTTCTGCAGTGACTTGCATTAGAAGTATGTGAGCAGGTGTCCTCGGCTCGGTTCTTGAAGGAGAAAACAAACCTGAGCGACGTGGGATTTATTCCACGCTCATCTTCAATTCCCTTCACAGGTGGAAGCTGCTCAGCATCATCATCTCTCACATTCAGGTAAGTTTACACAATAAGAAGTGGCTGTGATCGCACAAAGACAACTGCAGAACTGCCCAGAGTTAGAGCTTAAATGTCAGGTTGAAACTCTAATTTTAGCTGCTGTGATCTGGGAGTGAAGGGATTTGAGTCAACGGTGCTAAAGAAGAACCATGCAGAGCCAACGAGGCTAAATAAAGATAGGAGCTCTTTATCTGCTGCTCCGTAAACTAAACGCAGACTCTGGTCACAACATTGTTGCTGAACCCTCTTCTGATTTCATGTGAATGCAACAGATTTTCTACAGAAAAAAGGATGAAATGAAATATGTAGAAGCCCAGGCTGCAAATGTTTCTGTTTATCAGACCTTTTTGTGTGTCATCAGCCACAGACTTCATCACCATGCTCTCTAATAACTGCAGGCACAGAGTAGAGCTGAGGTCAGATGTGTTCGGACGTTTCTGCTCCTTAGGTTTGAAATGAAACAATGAAACTACGCCACAGTTTATAATTTCACATTTCAACATTTGGTTCAGTTTTATTTATATACCACTACTTACATAATCGTTATTATTAGTCTGTGAGGCTTTTCCACAGGCTGTCTTTATCTGTCCTGTAAATCACAGCACAGAGACAGCTTCCTTTTGAGCAAGCACTTGGTAACAGTGAGAAGAAAAAAC